CAAACATTATTGGCTCCAACTTGGTTAACTTATTGTTGATTTTTCTGAAGTGATTAACGTTATGTGTATTCACAAGCTGTTTTATTTACGCTATAAATGCTTGGAAATAATATTTAACGTTTTCAAGTCCATGCATCATTTGTAGCACGCAAGCCACCCAATAATCGCAATAAGCTTTGTGCTTTTGTTACTTATATTAAAACACAAAGTGTCAGCCTTCTGTCAACTTTATAATCAAATACTACAAACAATAAATGTGTTTTTACGCTCTTAGATTTGTAGTGATATAACTATATTTGTCTCAGTTCAAGCAGCATGTGAATCAATGATATTTTCCTCTTTAATATTTGCTGCACGAAATAAACATGAATAAATATTTGAATGCATGTTGAAAAAATCAGAACAATTTAATACAAATGAATGTTTCATGAAATCGATCAGAGTTTCAAAAAACGTCAATAAGCCTACGTTTTATTGCTGTTTTTCATGTTAAATGTGAAGAATGACAGGTTGGATGCTACAGACTTTTTATTTAATTTTATTTTTTTAATTTTTTTTTTGGCGGAGTATAGGTGGAATTTTCACACTAACTTCATGCAAAATAATATGATTTTATTATCGTAATTTTGACTTTATTCTTAAAATATGATGACGTTAATCTTATTTAGTTAGTTATTTTTCAACATGGCACTAAAATGCTGCTGTAGGCTATTTATACTGCATGCAAACATCTTGGCAGAAGCCCAAAAAACAACAAATATTAAATAAATAAATGAATAAATGAATGAATGAATTAATAAATAAATAAATAAAATACTATTAAATATGAAATAAATAATATTTTCTGAGTCAGTGTCACAAGATGAAGTTGACGATCCTGACTGGCCATCTCCTCAGGACTGGCGCCTTTAGAGAGAAATACATCTTTACTGGTTAGCCTACATAATGAAAGAGTTTTTGTTTTCGATTTGAGTTATTTCGTTTCAAAGTATTTAAAGCATTCTATTAGATATTTATCATGTCTGTGAGGAGGCAAGTATTCGCTGAGTTTCGGTTCATAATTGTGAAGCGCTCCTGCTCAAGACCAAGACGACAGAAAGCGTATCTTGTTTGTTTGCCTTATTTTACAAAAGCACAGGTTTTTGATGATATTGTGAGTGCACACAAATAAAGGTAGACCCTTTACAATTCCAAATGATGTATTACTCTTACGTTTATGAGCAAAAATGACGGCGTAGCCTATTTAATTTGTTTCCACTGATGTCCTGAAGCGCGCTTCTGCTTCTACTCTCCGCACAAACGATTGGATATGCACCTAATAGCGCACATTTATCTAGGTTAAATGTTTAAACTAACATTATGATGTGCTTTAAGTATTTTATATCTATAGATTTTATTTTCGGCAAGTCGTAATTACAACATCGTCTGACATTGTCTCATATGATGCTCATAAGTTTCTTCATATTGCGTTAGTATCTGATAACACCAAATCATTAAAAGAATAAAAATTGCACTACGAAAGATCTCCATGATTAGCCTGTTTTTGCACTTCCTGTTTTTCCCTGCTTGAGAACTTCTGTCCAATGAATGGATGACCTTAGTGTGGTTTTGTTTACTATTTCTGGTCCACTTGCAAAAAAGGGCAGTGTGAAAGCGAACCGCACCAAACAAAACAAAAAAAATCAACATTGCATTTGGTCCGGACCAAAGCAAGTGAACTAGTGGACTTTCCTGGTGTGAATACACCCTAGGTCTGCTTTCTTCAGCTTCCACTCTCCGCACAAACGACTGTATATGCATCTAACAGCACACATTTATCTAGGTTACATTTTTATCAATATCACAATATCGTGAATTGCATGAAGGCTACGCCTCTCTAAGTAAGGTTGTCCAAAGATTTCCGGGTTCTTTTTTCAGTTATATTTTTAATGTGCGCTGGACGCTGTCGTGGATCTGTAGATTAACATCACGGAAATTCACCCATTTCTCCCGAAATACATGAAAGCAAGTGGCCAGTGAACTGGCAGGAAAACAGAGTAAACCTTATAGTTAACTACACAATGATAGGAATAAAACACGTCGTCAAATTTGAATGGGTAATTCCTCGTGGATATATTTTTCATAAACTTGGTGACACTGATGACAGCTTAACATTATTTACCTTAGCCTTCCTTTGGGGTCTTTGCTGTTATATTTTTGTAATAAAACAATTCTGTTTCATAAACTTGGTACTAATAACAGCTTAACATTATTTACCTTAGCCTACCTTTGGGGTCTTTGCTATTATATTCCAATATCATTATGCCTGGATTAGATAGATTAAGGTTGTTTTTTTATGTACAGATGGCTTGCTGCTGTGTATAATAATTTGTTGTCAAAATAGCATTCTGTTCCATAAATGCATTGTTTGCTGGTTTATTTAGCTACTTTTCAGTACACCACAATAAGTATGCCACTGACTGTAAGACTTTGAATTTTAAAGTGCAAATTAACACCTGACCACTCTTGTGGGTTTGCCTCTGTTACAATTAAAGGGGTCATATGATGCTGCTGTACAACAATAAATTGATAATGGGTGTGTTAGATTTATAGTGTGCGAATAATCAAGCATTGACAATAATCAGTCGCATTAGCGACACAGAGGGGCCCCCAAATAAAATTCTGCTTGGGCAAGCCCTGGACTTCCCCCACCTACAGCCTCTGCTGGTACCGAGATTCAAACCCGCAACGTTTGGGTTACAAGTCAGACTCTCTAACTATTAGGCCAAACCGATACTTATTAAAAAAATTAATAAAAATAAATCCCCCCAAAAAATGATGGATTGGCCATTAGAATAGAAATACAATAGAGAGTGCAAATGTAAAGAGGGTCAAGTTTTTTAATTAAAAAAAAATTAGAAATTTAGATAAAATTAGAAGTAGCATTAGAATAGAGAGTGCTAGAGTTAGAGGGTCAAATGAAGACGAAAGAGATGTGTTTTCAGATGTTTCTTGAAATTATCAAGGACTCAGCTGCTTGGATTGAGCTGGGAAGGTCATTCCACCAGGAGGGAACAGTTAATGTAGAAGACCATGAAAGTTTTATCATAAATAGAATGTAAAATGTTTCAATACAAGCATTTCAGTCAAATGTAATTTATGCAATATTTCCACCCTTTAACCCACAGGGGGAAAATCAACTAACGGCAACAGTTTAAAAACTTTCAATAAAACTTTAATTGGCTGCCTATGCAGAAGAAATTCCCTTTTTCAAAATAGGTAGGAAAACGTCAGCACCCATAATGCACCCTCTGTCTATGTTTTCCTTTTTTAAATATCCTTACATTTTTATTTTTGTACAGCTTTTTGTTTTTTTCTCCAGCAAACCATATATACCACAAAAACATGTTTTTTATTAATGTACTGAATAATGTACGTGAACCTTCTTACTCTGAAACGGAAGAAGTCTTGAACTATGTACTATAACATGTAAAACAGGAACATGAAAGGAATATTCTAAAAGCAACTCATGTAAACACCATAATCATAATATTGTCTTATTTAGAATAAGGTAAATAATTAGATTACTGATGTCCATTTAAATGTATTCAGTGATTCAAAGACCCATTAATAAATACGGTCACTTGCTTCGTTCCTTAATTCATTTTGAACAAATTGGTTGGATGAATGATTCAGTGACTCACTCATTAAGACAGTGTCTTGCCACCACATACTGCTGGTTTTAGTTTCACATTTAGGCTAAAGTATCGTTCGTTTTTTTGTTTCAATATTCTCATTTCCACTCAACACACATTTATGCCACATCTGAGCTGCATTAAACAGTCTGTGTAAATTGCACACCCCTAGTCTGACAGCTCACAGCACTAAATAACACACCAGTAGATACAAATATCTAATACAATATTTCACTCTTTTATTAGTTTTCACACAGGGCCAGAATTCATTGGAAAATGTGAGATCAGCAGAAGCTTGTTGATTTTTCTTGATGAGAAAGGAGATGGACGTGTGAACGGAAACTAACTGAGGTTTGGGGAGGATTCAACCAGATAAATAGCACAGTTCAGTCGTGAGAGTTTTCAGACATTTTAAGCATCGCTATCGTGGGCTTTTCAGTGAACCAATAAAGAAAATGTCTGTGAAATCAGTTTGGTTCTGTTTGTGTTTGTGGCGTCTGGTTGGTGAGTTTGAAATGTGTTTTTATGGCTTCAGCTGCTTCTGTTCTGGTAACATGTAATAAATTACTGGTTAAATTAGTCAGAGAGGATAAACATTCACTGTTATTCTCATATAGAAATATACCCTGATATTAATCTGAGGTCAAGTTTGAATTCAAAATATTTAGTGTATTCAGTTCGTGATAGATTCAATTAAATATGTAGCTCAAACAACCAACAGCATTAGTGTTTGTTGTATTAAAATGCTTTCTAGTTAGTTATTTTTCCATATAAAACTCTAATTCTCTTTTCATTTATCATGACTTGTCTTTGTACAGCTGTAGAATATTATTCACGTCATACGTAATTGATTAAAAGTATTTTAGTGAAGCTTCATCAAACCAACATCAAGTGAGTTTAAAGCTTAATCTGTAAAAAACAACAACTCTGTTCTTCAGGAGTGTTTGGTGATAAAGTGTTAGTGAAGGAGGGAGATTCAGTCACTCTAAACTCTGATCTTACTGAAATACATGATGATGATCTGATTCAGTGGGGGTTTGGAAATGAAAACACTTTAATAGCTGAAATCTATAAACGGGACGACAGCATGACTGTTTATGATGATGTTCTTGATGGGAGATATGTATATGTGTGTATTTTAAACAGCACAAATATACAACTAATAATCCAAATTTCCATTTAATAATCAATAATCAATTTTGCTTCTGTTGGTACATGATGATATTCATTTCAAATTTAAACTACAAACTATTTACTTTAGTAAACCATCAAATAACCATTTTTAACCCTGTTTCTCTTTGTTCTCTTTCTGTTTGGTTTTAACAGTTCTGAAGACAGCGTTAGTGAAGGAAGGAGATTCAGTCACTCTAAACTCCGGTCGTACTGAAATAATGGATGATGATGTGATTCAGTGGAAGTTTGCAAGTGAAGACACTTTAATAGCTGAAATTAATAAACAGACCGGCAGCATCACTGTATATGATGATGTTCTTGGCGGGAGATTCAGAGACAGACTTAAGCTGGACAATCAAACCGGATCTCTGACCATCACTAACACCAGAACCACAGACTCTGGAGTTTATCAGCTATATAACAATGATATACTTGGGATTATGTTCTTTCTCAGCATGCATAGTGAGTTATATATCTGTTTCACCTGTTTTAAGTTTTTAGTTGATGCAATAATTAATCCACACAGCATGTTGCTTCTTTTGTGTCTGTTCTGTTGCATGATATTCAGAACTGGGTAGTAACTGATTACATGTCATCTGGATTACGTAATCAAATTAAGTACTTGTAATTAGATTAAATTACATTTTAAAATTCTCAGATTTTTTAATTGATGCCATGATTACATATCATTAAAACAATAGCAATAAAGTATTCATACTTTAGATTCTCCCTAATTCCTCTTTCATCTTTGAAATGTTCCTTTCTAAAATATCCTACTGCTTATATACACTCAAAGTCTTCCAGTTTTGTGGGCATTACTTAGTCAGGTGGCTACACAGCATTTGACCACTGGGTTTACAAAAATCATTTCAGGTTTAAGAAGTGATTCAACATTGCATCAACTACTGATGAACACACAAGTTTTTATTTGAATTATCACTCAGTAGGTTATTTAATCATGTATTACCATGTAGTTGGAATCTTTTGTCTTTCAAACACATAAAAATTCACATTGTTTCTTATTTACATGTAATGCAGGCATTCCCAAACTTTTTTTTTGTTGTCATGAACCTCGCACCTAATATATTTACTTGAAGTCCCCCTTAGTTAATTTTCACATGACATGAGGTAAACAAATAGTAAGTGTTTTATTTTGATTTAAATTATAATTTTGTTTTTATTTTGTTTTTACATTTTTACGATTTAATTAATTATTAGCTTTTCGTTAAACTCACAAACCCCCTGCAGTTCCTTTACGAACCCCAGTTTGGGAAACCTTGACGTAATGTAATGTTCAATGCACGTCATGTTGTTAATAACAACAAATGGAATATATTTTCTTAATCTTTGTATTTTTATATCAATATGGTATAAGATTATCCTATTTAAATAAATGTGATGCACAAGTTACTTAACAGTATTAATCTGTGACAAACCCTGTTTGTTCTGTGTGTGTTTTGGTGATCCAGATGAAATATCAGTGATGGAGGGAGATTCAGTCACTCTGAACTCTGATCTTACTGAAATGAGTGTTGTGATTCGCTGGGGGTTTGAAAATCAAAAGGCTTTAATAGCTGAAATCTATAAATGGACCGACAGCATTACTGTACATGATGATGCTCTTGACAGGAGATTCAGAGACAGACTGAAGCTGGACAATCAAACTGGATCTCTGACCATCACAAACATCACAACTGAACTTGCTGGATATTATAAACTACAGACTGAAAAACTGACTGAGAGTTTCAGTCTCACTGTCTATGGTGAGTGTATTATTGGTTTCATTTATTTTATCTGTTGCAGTAAATCTAAAGAAGTATCAAATTACTTAGAATTACAAAATAGCCTTTTTTCAGGTTTATATTAAACTTTGTATTAAATAGTTTTTAAATGTACTTTTGATCAGTCTTGGCTCCTCTCAATGCTTCCTTGTCTGCTTGAATTTCTTCATTCATCCTAATTTCTCTTTATTCTCTCATGTTTTCAGCTCGTCTGCCTGTTCCTGTCATCAGCAATAACTCTTCACAATGTTCTTCAGTGTGTCTTGTAAGGATCCACCCGCCAAACCCAAAAAGCGGAATCCAGCGGCCTGGTTTAAGGTTTAATGCGTAGTCGGTCTTTTACTTGCGCTTCTGAATTTGTCAGGATTTAGTTTAAATTTTAGTCTAGCTCCGTGTTCAATCTGACTCCAATTTCACGTGATCAGTTTTTAATTAGAAATATTGCTTTGAAATATTGCCTAACTTTAATGATCACAAATATTAATTTAGATATTTGATTATTCCGGACTCACTATACTTTCAATTATCCGTTCACTGGGGACCTAATGTCTCTTTTAAGTCTCACGCTGGCCTTACGTGGATCTTACGGTCACAAACTCACCAGTCTGATGATAGTCAGAGGGTGTAGGTAGACTAATACCTATTTTGCCTGCCGCCTACTGCTTGCTTATGACAAAAAGTGTAATTCACTTAGTCCTTTCCCGTACAACTTGCTAACATCGGCGATAGACAGAAATCAGAAGGTCTCCGATGACGTGCCGACTGCTCCTATCATTCACAAGCCTTCAGTTTGATCTATCCTGGCCATAGATTTGCGGTAACAAAAGCCTCCTCACAGTTTACTAGTCATAATGATTTTAGGAGAGTTCAGAATAAATCAAATATAACAATTTATTATTAGTCAGGTAAAATTGTATCATGCCAATTACATAATGTAACAATTAGAAGCCAATTTAGAAAGGATAATGCAATTGTGAAACATATTGTATCCGCGTGGCAGCATGGTTTACTGTAGCTATATGGAAAATAGCCAAGTGTTCCATGTAGGAGACAAACAAATTTTACATAGTCACACATGTAACAGTTATCCTAATTTAACACAAGACACGGTCTAAACATTCCCACAGGCCTAAAGGGGGACACACCCCCTCCTCAGCAGAACATAATTCTACAAAGGTTTTGAATCTTTCACACAATATAAATGACTACTTTGAAATTGAACCCAATTTACCAATCGCACAAAGACCTTTAAAATGACACTAAACATGAAGGGGAAAAACAACAGGTTCACAAGATACATGATATGTGGGATATGCATATTCTTAATGAACTTTGGGTGAAACCTTTTGGGGGAAAAGAGGGAGAGGCAGAGCGGGCAGGGGGAGAAGGGGGTTGTAAATGGGCGAGGAGAGAGGTGTTGTTTGTTCTTTTTGAAGATTTCTTCTCCAGATAAGTTTTATTGTGTTATTGCATGGCGTCTGTTTTGTGTGAGTTCCTGAGTATTGGCTTCATGAAGAGTTAATTTCATAAGGAAATAAATTAACTCCTTTCAGTCTGATCTCAGCATCAGTCTCTCTCTACCTCTGGAGGTGGAATATCAGGATAAAAACAGCTACAGCTGTGTGCTCAACAATCCCATCAGCAACCAGACTCAACATCTGGACATCACTCAACTCTGTCACACATGTTCAGGTCTGGCAGCGCTGATATTAGTTGATGTCGGCGCTGATATGAACGTTTATTGACTGAGCTGATCTCAGTTTGGTGTTTTTATTCCTCAGACTCTGTCCACTGTTGTGGTTCTACTGAAGCTGTGATCCGATTGGCCCTCTCTGCTCTGGTGGGCGTGGCTACTGTCATTCTTCTGGTTAATGACATCAGATCCAGAAGAGCTGATCAAGATCAAGCACAGATTCATACACCAGGTACATGATTGATGTAATTTCTTACAAACTGATTTTTCATACAGTATATAAACGTTTTAAAAATTTATTAATTCAAGGCTCTCTATATATATTTTTTCAGGACGTAATGAAATCTAAAGCAGAACTCTCACTCTTTTTGCATTAGTCAAGTCAAGTCAATTGTTTCAAAGCAGTTTTACAGTGATAACTGTCAGCTCAATAATATATGATGAGTATTTAGTGTCCCCAACTACACAAGGTCAGAGTCGACAGTGGCAAGGAACCCAAACTCCATTAGGTGACAGAAATGGAGAAAAACCCTTGGGAGAAACCAGATTCAGTTTGTGGGCCAGTTCTCCTCTGGTCAATGAATGAACACTGTATGATTAGTTTGAATCGTTTTTGTTTTGTTTATCTTTCTCTCAGTTGAGACACACAGATCTCTCTTTACTACTGATGTTCATTTGTCATCTGTATTTGATTGTCTTTCTCAATAAAGTTTTCTCACTCTGAGCTTCAAGTGTCTCTGCATGTTTTATTACATTTATTATGTCGAGCGCCTCCTGGAGGAAAAAAAAACTATATGTACATTTGAACAGTTTCAGCAGTGCAATCCACATAAAACTTTACATTATTGAAACATTACTTAAAATATTAGCTGTAAATGTTTACATTATAATTAAGCTGATTAGATTTCTGTTTGTTTCCACAATAATAAACAAACAATTGCTCTAGCTTCACCTTTTAATCTGAGAAAGTAGTGATTTGGTAGATGTTATAATAATAATATACTTTGTTACAATATATTAGAATAATATAGCTGTAATATACTTCGACAACACAGTGAAATACATAAACACAACATATATGCACTGCATTTCCTCAGACAGTCAACGATAAAGTTTTTAAATCTCTGTAGTGTGATTTGTGGCTGTGTTTCATGCGGTTCAACAGCATCATCAGTAGCTCAGTCTGAATCAGCATGTTATCAGAAGTGATCTGCTCAGTTTCCTCTGACTCCACTAGTTCTGTCTGATTGCTTTTGCTGTTCAGCTGGGGGTCATTTGCATTTGCACTGAAGAATTTCTTCACAAACGAGGTACTTTTTGGACACAATAGTGTCTGGAGCTTGAGCTCAACTGAGTTGTCAGTTTTCTGGTCTTTTCTTGTCTTACCAGAACTTACTCTGTGGTGGACTGCATGTGATCTCTGATCATGTGTCTCTTGGTTTGGCGCGAGTATAATAATATCATCAGAGATTTTCTCCACTCCCTCAATACCTGCGAGTGCTCATGCGACTTCATGTTGGTTTGGTCATGTTGAACTGGTCTGGAATTATTGCTTTATTTGCCCGCCTCATATGCAAGCGTTTGCTCAAAACGGCATCTCACAGCTGATTATCTTTATTTTACAGTCTTTAGCAGCTTGACTGAAGTGAGTGAGAAACCGTTGCAGTGTCATGTTGTTTTTGTCTCACTAATGCGGTGTTCACTTGTTAGCAAGTAAGCATTTAGAGCAGTGGTTCTCTACCAGGGGCCGGGGCCCACTAGAAGGGGTTTTCCTGTTGGAGAAGAAACTCAGCAAGGCTCAGCAGAAGTATTGTGTTCAGTGGATCTGTATATGGTCTGTTTCCAGTCTAGCCCCTCTGCCTGAGTGTTTTAATATGGTCACATCACCTCTGCCCATTTTGGTGTTGTCTTCACATGTAGACTTTATTTGCCTCACAGAACTGTTGAAATTGAGCAGGCATGAACTGAGGGCCACAGTCTGATCTGATGATAAGGGTCAAAGACAAATGAAAAACTTCCTCACATACTCTAATAGCAGCTGTAAGGACTAATGCAGTGTTGTAACAAAGTAAGCATTTAGAGTGTCACATCAGCGTCATAATCCGTAGCTGCTGAATATTAATCATTTGAAGATATCAGAGAACACTTTTATACACACAGTTCTAGCAGGTAATCTGTTCCTGCTCCATAAAGCCATTAGAGAAACTCTGAAACAATCGAGATATTTGATAAGAAATGAAGACAAGAAATGAAGACAGGAGAGAGCAGAGCCAAACACTCTCAGGATCTCATGACAAGCTGAAACTCTTACTTTAAGACACATTTCACATGCTATGGGTCAGTTTGTTTCTGTTGAAAAATTACACAATGGATCTACAGGAAGTGGACGCCCTACTGGAGCTCAAAGTGACGATGTTCAGAGTGTGAAATAATCAGCCAAAAAAGAAGAAGTGCCAGGCAATCACATGCATTAACACTGAAAGATGTGCAGTTATTTTAGCTGAAGGGGGAGTTTCACTTAATTTTACTACAGATCAGCTTCATATCAGCTCATATGTCATTTTATCACTGAATCAGTTTTGAAGAGTTTGTCTTTTCATATGATTTGTGGACTGAAACAGGTGAAGATGTTTTGGTCTGTTTGGTTCTGTTTTGTTTCTGGCGTCTGGATGGTGAGTTTAAAATGTGTTTTTATGTCTTCAGTTACTTCTGTTCTGGTACCATGTAATAGTCAGAGAGGATCAACATTCACTGTTACAGGCCAGTACTGATGGGGGGCATTCAAATTTTAAAGGTGGGCAATACATATACAATACATAATACATATCCTTACAAGTACAATTTTAGCTGGATTATTTGTGTCCCCTTCAAAAACTGCTCTTGAGAAATTTTATGTTTATTGTCCCCCCCAACTGTTAGACCAAATTTACGCCCCTGGACACATTTAACATTGAATAAAGCACATCAGTACCTGAGATTATCAGTCATAGTTTTATGCTGTTGTTCCAGCCGGTAAATTTTTACATTTTTAAAAACTGCATTATGTGCAATTTACATGGTTTCATACAATTTTTTTTTTAAAGTTGAGTGTTGCTTGTTATATTTAAAAATAAATCGTAATTAAATTTAAGTTTGGGCTCTGTTGTTAATTGTAACCTTATAGTAATGTAAAAGGGCTCCCTATGGTCTAGAGCATAAGCTGAGGTAGATTTTTATCCCTAAGAAAATTTTAATTATAACTGAATTTATATAACGAAAGATGTTGTAGTTAGTTCAATTGTAGTTAGTAACATAA